AAAGAAAGCAAAGAAAATAAGATACAGTTGAAATATATTACAACTTTAGTTACCAACTTGTAACTTTTACTATTCTTAGGGACTAGAGTGCAAACCCTTTTATCTTGTATATATTTCTTTGTTTACAATTAAATCAGGAATATAATTTTTCCCCCAAATGTCGACTTGGTATCAGAGCCTGTCGTCCGAATCCTAGCCGGCCACGATTCCGACTACCCAGACGCCGGCGACTACCGCCGGCTACGTGAGAGCCTGTTCCCGTGCTCTTCGTCCTTTTTTTTTTCTCTCCTTATTCGTTTTTCTGCTCGAGAAGACTCCGGCTGCGCGAGCCTGCCTTCTCGTTTTTTCCACCCGTTCTGTGCTACACCGGCGCGCCACTCGAGAGCTAATTCCGGCTTCTGGGTAACGGCTATTTCCAGCTTCCTCGCGTGTTCGGCTTCTTCACTTGTCTCTTTCCTTGTCTCCGGTAAGAGAACGAAGCCTGTATTCAAGAAGGGCTACTAGATTAGGATTTCAAGGGTGTATAATCTCTCTTACATTGAGGATTAATATCCTGCCTAAAATATTCTGATTAATATTTGGTGTGTTTGTGGTGTGGTTGCCGGCTCCTTGCGGGTGGTGTTTGTATTTTGTTGTGTTTGTTTGATGGTTGGTGTATCGTTGGGTGTCTGATTGTCGTTGGATCATGTTTGGTAGTGTCTGGAGGGTGTTTGATCTGGGATTAGGATTCATGGCTGGGAGCTAATTTGAGGCAGATGTCTTTGTGTTATTTGAGGATACAAGTAAGCAGGCAACGAAGTGGATTCATAGTTTATGAGTTGAAGCCGATTCGCTTGTGATGGTTGATATTCGGTTTACAGTTGAAATTGAGCCCAATGTGTACACGATCTTGCACCATTGTTGTTGACAGACACCGACTCGATCTTCAATCCGGGTTTCAGCTGGATACCTACTAGATGTTTGTGTCTAATTTTTGGTACATTAGAAGAATTGGTTGTTATATTATCCATTAACGACTTGAAATAATGGCCGATGAAAAGGTTGCTCGATCATCTTCCGAGAATGGTATTTTTGGGTTGCAATCTACTTCTACCGGATCTGATTTTTGGGTTATAGATT